TAGTACCTATTTAATTTTCTACATTTACATAAGTATAAAATATTTTTTTTAAGAAAACCTTGCAGGCATTTGCTCATTTTTTAAAGATTGGAGTTTTTCTAAACTAATAGTGGTGTTTGCACTATATCACCAGCTGCTAAGATTGAGTATGATTGATATTTTTCTGTTTGAAATAATTGAGATATAGTTTTTCTATCTTTATGTTATAGTTTCTTCAATTCAGCAACAAATAATTCTTCTATATGCTTCCTTATTTACCTTTGTCACCCGTTTTAATTGGAAAAAAGACACTGATGTCAAAATAGATTGCTTAGCGTGAATGATCAGAGCCAAAATAGGGTTGCAAATAATTTTATTGATGTAAAATCACCATCAATCATTTTATATCAAAATATTTACAACCCCATTTTGTTTCTGATCTTTTACACATTGTAATAAGAGAACGAAATGGAATCCATATGTTTCTTTAGCTTTGGGTTCATCTAACAAGTGAAGTTTTTCGAATTGTTTTCTAAGAATTTTGGATTATACGCATTTATTAGCACACCACAATATCTTGTAGTTTTCAGTTTTACACAGCTGGCGTATATCAATTCGATATTGTTTTGGGGGCTGTTTTGTCGTAATTAATAGAATTTCGTAGTTCATTACTAAAGGTACAATAAGTGATGATTTGGCAGGGGTTGATATCAATTTGGAACTTCAAAATTCCATGGACCAAATGGTATTGAACCCGAAAAATAATATCGATCCAATATTTTAGATTATCCATTTCCAAGGAGTTTATAATTTGTTGGGCTCTCTTCAGTTAAAGAATTAGAAGGCATTCATGGAATGTCTCTGTGCCCTTTTCAAGTTTCTAATACTTTCAATGGCCAAGTGAACAACTTTTGTTCATCATTTTATATAACGTTTGATCGGAGATACTAGCAAAACGTTTAACGGCAAATATGTATTTTACAAATAGAAACAAAATGCTTTTCTCAAAAAAGTATTTCAATGCAAGTTTTTCGAATAAATCACATCTCTGACCTTAACCTGCCACATTTAGACTTGGTTTTAGTGTGGTTTTAGAAGACTATCGTCTCTCTGTCTTTGGTAGTAACGAACAAACGCAAGTAGAGTAAGACCAGTATACACTTGGTCTTCGACTATCAAATTTAGACTTGGTTTGAGTCGTTTTTGGAAAACTTATTGTACCAGTTACCCTTCAAGGAGGAACTCGCAACAATGAACATACAATTGTTTCCATTATTGTTTTGACCACAAATTGTTCTCGGTCTTGTTTTGTTATACGTAATTTTTATTTTTATAACAGGTGTATTAGGTGTCTGGCATAGTAATTACTCCATTTATCGTTAATTAATGTTAAAAATCTGTTAACGACTGCTATTATCAGAATCTTTTTTGTACGCAATTAAGATAAGTTGTCCATTTTATTGGAGTTAAAGCATGTAATACGTAATTGTTTAAAATCCGAATGTAAACAGAAGAAACTTAACAACAAACCACAATAGTACAGCCGATTTTACAGACAATTAACTTTCTCGGAGTATTATGCATGTATTAAGCCTATTCAATTACACTTAACGTTTGTAATTGCCCGAAAAGGATGAAACAAAGCAATAACGCGGATAACAATGAAGTACGATAAACAATTGAAGATTCAATTTTTTTTCAGTTCGTTAAACAAAATCACTTTCTCGACTTATGAAATGAACTAAAACAACCACGACTGTATATTGTGGATCTAATTATTCTAATTTTGCTGGCAAGTAATTAAAAACGGTTTAATTAAAGATTTCGTATGTTGGGTAATTTCGAAAAAGCTTTTGACTGCGGGTATCATTTTGGTAGATACCTACAAACGATGCAAAAGCACATCGTGAAAAACAAGGGGCTTCGCCACGGTATTACTTTCAAGTAGACCTTGACCAAAATGGCGACGATGTCTAGCCAAGCAGAAGGATATGCAATTTCCTTGCCTCGCAAAGGAAGTGCTAAACATCATCATAATATTGGCGAACTCGAAGATCCAATACATACACGTCTGAATAGCCAGACGTGGTCGTAGTCGTATAATAAAAGAAAGAACGAGGCCCGACTGTACATGTATGCAAATTTACAGGCAAGAAAAAACGAGCCTGAATAGCACAAAGAAAAACAATTGAAGATGAAAAAAACATTTGCGAAACAGCAACAATTAGACAGTATATAATAAAAACAATTGAAACTTTTTTTACTAAACTAAAACAATCGCAACAGAAAACAAAACTAACGGCTACCTATTAATATCTCTTCTTCCACCCTTGATCCTACTAAATTTCTTATATTTCTTCCCTAGATTTAGGCATTTGTATTATGTATAAAATGCCTGATAGGATAGTGATAATATTCTTGATTTATAGGTACATTAAAAAGAAAGACATGTTTAATTAATCAAAAAGTCACGCTAGTATTACGATATACTACTTAAGCACAATAAATTATAAGCGTATATAAAGAAGCTATTATTTATTGTTATTATTATTGTTATAAACTACATATATAGTTAGTACACCCGTTGGAGTGATTATCAGTTGAAAATCTTTACACTCCAAGTCTTTTTGTTGCTGGGAATTTGACGTGTTATTGACCCAGAACAAGAATTCGCATTTTTTTTTTGGTCCGTATAAAAAAGGCGCAAATGACGAATGTTTTAATTTATAAATGACGACAGAGCACGTAATCTTTTGAAAAATACGACTTGGTGTACGAAAATTCGTACAGATAGTTTGCCTTTAGCCCTAAAGAGAAAATGCTGAAAAAGAAATGTGTAATTTCTATGTTCGGTAAAGTTTTTTCCTTACCCGTATATAAGTAAGACAAATTATATACATACATGGCAAAATTTTAACCGAACATAAAAAATTATACATTCCTTTGTCGGCATTTTTTCTTTTCATGTTGCAATTATCCTTAAAAATGACCGACAATTTAGAACGAAACGTTTATTTTATTTAAAAGTCAACAATACTTGATAATTAGTTATCAACAACTGCTTGGAGAGTAATTAATACAACCTCAAGAATGTTATGAACAAAAATGAAAAACTGATACAGTTTTAACCTTTAGATATTAATTAATGAAGAACTAATGGGTCTGTAACATTTCTGGGTACCAAATGGGTAGGTACCTATGTAGACCTGGGTAGTACGTAATTGTAAAATTCAAGATCTTCAAAAAAATTATTAGTTTATTTTTAAACTCGATGATTTTCATGTAACATTATTAAAATGTTTTAACTCGAAGCGAATGAATGTTGGTTCGTACTTACGAACTAGAGCCGGCGTTATTTGTTTACTGGTTAAAAAAAATAGGACCGGTTTTGAGAATTCAAAAACGTCCAGTTCTTCGGAGAAGGCTCAATACACTTTATCAAAAACTAACTTGCAATAAGCAAAATACAATGTATTCGTTTGATCGAGTTTAAATAGTAACCAGGATTAAACACTTGGGCGGGGCAATGCCACAATTATATTATTCGCAAAAAATAAAAAATATACATCTATTCTTGTACACCTTTCGGGATGTTAATGGATGATAATGCAGGTGCAAAATATACCTGTGTATTCGTTATACGTACAGAATCAAGTTTTAACGATCCAAAAGGTTATAGGACTTAAATAGTAGAAAATGAGCGAAAGATTGAGTGAAACTTACCGCTAGGGCTAAAAATTCACCGATTTATTTATAAATAACACCACAGAACAAACAGCTTACGATATACACCTTCCGCCGGTTTATTTCAGACTGAAATTTAATATATAACGCTAAAGAAAGCCTGGAAAATTTAACATCCTTGCGCATGCGTCAACATGACAACTCTACCATTCTTATTTTAGTAGACGAAATGTTCGGCCATTTCATTTGAACTACTTTTTTAATCATAACCCACAATTTTTGCAAATGTCATGTTTATAATCGCAAAAAATGTCATGAATAATGTTTTAGATAAAAAATAATTGCAAATTTGTAGTTGGTTTTTTAAAATGTGAAAAGGGATGACATTCGAATTTTGCGTTTGCGCAAAAAGTTACAGTGAAACTACATAAATATTATGACGGTGTTCTGTGTACTCGAAAATTGCAAATGTCAAACTAAACGACTTCTGTAAAGTTGACAGTACTATGAAAGTGGTGGTTTTAAAGCGAAATTACAGAAAACCGTCGAACTATACTAATGGCAGATAATTTGCAGAAAAAACCTAAGAAAGGGATTTTAAAAAATTCCAGCAGTTTTGATGCTCCCGACCAGTCAGCGCAGAAGTAAGAAAAATGAGGTTATTTCAATACACACCTAAATAATTCCATTATCCGATGGTGTTTTTTATTTAATTTCATTTATCGTTTATCGATGTAAAACAGTTATTATTCGTATTTACACTACTACACGGATGCCTTTTTTTATCAAATTAAGTTTGGTCAGACTTAACCTAGAAATATTCCAGGAAGGCAAAAAACAAAGGGACAAAATGGGATGAAATGAACATCATAGCCACACTACATCCCCCAGATAAAGACTACGGTCATATGAAAGTGGACGAGCCTAAAACCCCTTACAATTTCGAAGATCAAGTTGATAATTCAAAAGAATTGGATGTTAACGCTTTGGCAGAAAAGTAAGCAATTTTTCATTAACATTTGAAGGTTACTGCTACTATTAAAAACTTATCTAATGCAATAAAATAACTATGAAGATATTTTATTACACTACATTATTAAATAATTTCCATTTCAGGACTAAACTATATCAAAATTGTCTCTAATCCAACCTTGGGAAATATATTGTCAAATTACAAGATATTTAATTTATTTTATTGATAGTTTATCTTTTCAGAATAAGACTGGGTGAAGATAAACTTCCAAAAGTGTTACAGTCGCGTTCATTTGAAAGTGAAGAGAGCGAAGATGAAGATCTCACACCAGAAGAAAGGCAGAAGAAAAAGGAGTTTGAGATGAAGCGCAAGAAGCACTACAATGAGTATTATGCTGTGAAATTGGCGAAGAAACTTTTGGAGGAAGAGGAAGAGGAGGACGAGGGATCATCTGATAATGGTAGGCAAAAGGTTAAGGACCAAGGAGCTAAGAGCTCAAACCAAAAGGAAAACGACGACTCGTCAGGCCAGTCTTCCGATGATCTATGATTCACTAGTTTCAACTGAAGTATCGAAAAAAAAAGTAAAAAAAGCTCCCTAACTTTATAATAATTATATATTTTATTCAATTATACTTATAGAGCTATTTTCTTAGTTATGATTGGTCGTGAAAAAAAGTTTTACAAGTAACAACACCAACGTTGATACATTTTATAAATATATCACGGGCTGTGCTTCCTTTAGAGATCTGCTCTTTGTCATTTGGGCTGNAATTTCACCACTTTTTTCTGAGTTTTGTTCACCTTCATCTTTGCCTACCGTAATATCACTGACTTGGATGTTACTAACTTCGTTATTTACTTTTTGCATATTACCACTACTATTTACATTGAAGTTTTTGCTTGTATTGTCTACATCAGTCTTACAATTACTCAAATCATTATTAATGATGAACTCCTTCAGATCAGCTCTAGTTTTATTTTCAGTTACATTTTCTGAATTATTGATTATGCTGCTAGTTTTATTAACAGGTAGTTCTTCTGGATACTTGATATTTTCATTATAACTTTCATAGTTTTGTTGCTCATGTGATCTTATGTCTGTATTTAGGTATTCATTTAAACTTTGAAAGACATTGTTTATTGAATGTTTTGCACTTGACAGTTTGTAAGCAGAGGTGGAATCATTTCTGTGGGGTGTACTTCTAACACCTCCCAAGTCAGTAGAATTAGGTTCGTTACATTTCACTTTTGAAGAGTTATACTGGTCTGTTAGTTCACTGTATTCAAAATCATTTAGTACTTTGTCTAAGTCTACAGTATACTTATCCATCTGCAAAAAGGAATATAATTTTAATTACCATCTTGACAAACCTGATACTTAAAAGAAATTTAATTATGTATTCATAACAGTGATAAAATAAACACAAGTGTGAGCAACATTCTAATAATTAACAAAGAGCTATACTACAAAAATGTATCTTATGAATTATAACCTAATCTGGAAATATAAAAGAAATATTTATATTACGTACATATCGTATAATAGTATTATGGGAAATGCTAAACAATTTATATATACTAGTGAAATGTAGTTTTTAGAAAAGCAAAAATAAATACTTTAAACTACTTTTTTTTATTGGAAGCAAAATCGAGTAATTAATTGATAATGGGTCTATTTTGAAGTAAATTGAAATTTCGGATAAAAAGAAGAATATACGCAATATTAATCTTTTAAGAGAAATATATGGCAGATGTAAGTCTAAAAATGGCCGTTTACGTTGAATATTAGTAAGGGAAATTAGAAAGTAATTTATACGAGTTACACGGCGGCTGTGCTGTTAGACACAGTTAAATCATTTCCGATATCCATGGCTACAAAAATCATGGCTGCCCTTGACGTTTTATTATCTATGGCGTTTTCTATTGTAAACGTCAGACGGATTTAACCTTACTATTTAATTGAATTTGTCGATATTGTACGTGAAATATTTCAAATTATAACTGCTACAGTAAGTGATATATCAGTTTAATTAGTCAGCAAATCTATTATCTGAATAATTAATTTAACGACACGTGCGACATTTTTACCAATAATCAATTTTATCATTCTAAAAAGGTACCTGCGCACGTTGCTGATTCCTTTAAAAACTACGTAAAACATTGTGAATATGAATACATTTCCTGATGAAATATACGCCAGTAGGTCACCGAACACTACACTATCAACAACCGGTAAAGTTTTACTAGGCTTAACAGGTATGAAATTATGACTTGGTCTTCAAAGTTTGTAATTTCAGCCACACTTTAAACTCGAACAGGTGGATTAGCTGTCGGCCTTACAGTTATTTGTGCCCCGTTTGTTAGTCCTGCACTGAGAAAGTATTGCCTGCCTTATATCCCAGCCACAAATACACAAGTAAACAATATACTAACAGCTTTACAAAATCGAAAGGGACAATTGATAGATTTAGGTTCAGGGGATGGAAGAATAGTTTTTGGTAGGTACTACTCACTTGGCAGTAAAAATTGCACGATAATAATCCTTTTTTAATTTATAGAAACAGCAAAAAATGGTTTTGCTTCATCAGGAGTAGAACTTAACTTGTGGTTAGTGTTATACAGTAAAGTACAAGCCCAATTAAATGGTTTGAGCAAAAAGACAAAATTTCTGAGGAAGGATTTGTGGAAATTCAATTTGTCCCAGTACGACAATATAGTCATATTTGGGGTTGAGCAGATGGTGTGTATAAAAACTACTTTTCAATTTTTAAAATTCAGAAGCATTCTTAAAAGTAGGACAACAACTATTTGAAAACATGAATAAAATATAGTGTAATACTCATATAATATACAGCTTAATAACATTAACAGCAGCTATCATTGTACTTGAGGTGAAATTGATAAACATTACTAATAAGTACTATTATGAAATTAATTAAGTTAGAAATTTATTATCTCGTGATAATAACACATAATATCAAATGATACATTATCAGTATCAATATACACCTGAGTAAATTGCTTTACAGGCTAAAGGCAGTTTAATTTTGCTAGAAAGTTAATAATGACATAAAGCTTTTGTTCTGACAAATAAAATTACTGCAGAAGGGCAAATTATTTTGCTTTTTCATCTTATATTATATTAAAGGAAAAGGTTACAAGACACCCTGTGTACATATATGTTTTTTCTTTACAGTAATTTTTCCAAAAAATCGGAAAATTCTGTTAAGGGAATATTAAAAGTACTTTTCTTTCACGACGGCTTTCGTCCGATTTTTTACGAAAATGGCCAATAATACAAGAGGCCTCCGCCCCCTGGTTCTCTGTGGGCCATCTGGCACGGGTAAGAGCACCCTGTTGAAAAAACTCCTAGAGGATTACCCCAACACTTTTGGGTTCAGTGTGAGTCACACGACCCGTCTGCCAAGACCAGGGGAAATCGATGGTAAACACTACCATTTTACTACTGCAGAAAAGATGAAACAGGATATCGAAGAGGGGAAATTCATTGAGAATGCCACCTTTGGGGGTAACATGTATGGCACGAGCAAGGACGCAGTTAAAACTGTCCTCGACCAGGGAAAAGTTTGCGTACTGGACATCGACGTGCAGGGGGTGAAACAAATCAAAAAGACGGATTTAAACCCTTTCTACGTGTTCATTAAACCTCCAAATTTGAACGTTTTGGAGGAGAGATTGAGGCAAAGAAAGACAGAAACCGAAGAAACTTTGAAGAGGAGACTGAGTGTGGCATCTCACGAAGTGCAGTATGGGGAAGAGCCTGGAAATTTTGACTTAGTAGTTCTTAATGATAATTTGGAACATGCTTATGACCAACTTAAGAAATTTGTCAAAAATCATGTTTTGAATGGTAAACAAGGAAAATAAAAGGCACAAGAAGGGAATTAAATGAAACATGGTGTTTGTTCCTTTTTCCAAAGTAAAATAAAAAAGAACAAAAGGTTTATGTTATGCTTGAAAATAATCCAAAATTCTGATGCAAATTAAATTATTCTGAAAATTGCATTATTGACAACAAAATTTGTTGAACAAAAATGAAAATGGCTCAATCATAGTTCGGCCAAGAAGAAAGGCATAAAAATGGTTTCCAATTTTTTTTTTTAACGAAAACAAACTATAATCTATTTTTGAATTTAAACCTTTTAAATTTTGTACTTAATATTAATTTAATTTAGCTTAATAAGAAAATAAGGGCTGTAGAATTTAGTATTAGTATTTTTCTTGTAACTGTGTGCATACTCTAAATGAATTTTAAAATAATTAGAAGTAGATAACTTAGAAATAGTACTTGATAATAATGTTATGCTACCTCGATGTTTTCACTACAAAAAAATTAGTTGGTAACTTCAAAGTAGATTTTAGGATTAAGCTAAAAGTTAAATATAGTCTACAGACTTCGTTTAAAGAAAAATATTAGGTAAAATAAATAGTGTTCATCATCGTTACGATTTTATGTACTAATAATATTCCTAAATGATACAAGGGAGGTTATATTGTCTTAAGTCTTTCAGGTCTA